TTTGCTCGCTGTACAAAAATTGTCCGAGTAAACGCGTACGGAGCATCGGAAATGAATGTACAGAGTGAAAAAGTGCCGCTTCGCACGGCACGGTCGTCTCGCAGCATCGGACCGCGATTTAGTTCGTAGACACTGCTCCGAGGTTTATGAAGGAAAAAGGAAAATTTATGCCGCATCCGCGAGATAACTCGTTTCTTCGTGAAAAATCGCTCCTCTTCCTCCCTGGAGGAGAGGAAACGATTTGTCCTACGATTTATCCGGACATTCTGTATAACCGCAATTCGATCCACGTCGCGATTGTTCACGGCGACGTGTGTGTTCGGGTGGTCGTGTTACGATGTTTGCAAACTTCTGCAGAGCGTATCGTGCAGGGGTGATCATACGCTTTCCAGAAGTGAACAATGGAAAGGAAGTCGCTGTCTAGAGGCAGGCCAAAAAGTCGCGCGCTGTATCTTTCAAGAGGGGGAGACTCATGTGAGACACCATGTCCTGAAAATGGCCGACAGACCCCTGGAGAGCCCAAGTATATCGCCTGGACAGTATCCTTGGTCGTCCTTCTCTTTCTCCGTCTCTCTTTCTCCGTCTCCCTCTCTTTCTTCTCGACGAAGTCGACCGGTAGGCAACGAACGAACGAACCAACCAACTTGGTCACTTGACCCTAATATCAATTTGTGGGCGGTGGCACTCAAAAAAGAAACATCTCTAGCCAACGTACGTATGATGAGGGTTCCACGGGGAGTCTCGTTTGGAAAGCACTTAATTTATACTAATTTTATTCCACGCCCAAAACGGAGAACGTAGACTTAACAAGACCATACTTCTTCAAAAGCAAACACTCTTTTGTGCGTCCTGCTCGACGATGTGACGAACGCCTGCACAGTTTCGTCACGCGTCGTGCCATAAGGCCATTGTCGCGCACGTCGTTCTCGACGAGGAACGTCGTGCGCGAAAAACTACGGGGGCCTAAATGAAAAATCGTCATATTATCTAAAGAGGAAAGAAACAAACATAAAAGAAAAGGAAGGAACCATCTCATAATTACCGACATCCACGGTGCATAATAAATTTCTTCCGGGAGTGTTTACGAAACTCGAACGAACTGAATCCGGCCGAAGATGACGCATTATTATGAGAACATTAAAAGCGCACCGAAGTGCACCTGGGACGTTCGCGTTGATATGACGACGTTATCTACTGTCGGGCCCTGACCACCCGTCCCTAGGCGGTGTGAGCGCGACGCATTATATAGCACATACCACGGATGATAGGTGACAGGAAGTCGTAATCTACCCTCTCGTTATCTCGTCGGAGCCGGCGATTGTTTACATCGTGAGATTTTTAAACAAGCTGCTAAGTAATTTATTCACGCCCCTCCCGTCATTACGCTACCGTCGGCGATTCGCGCGATAAAAACGTAACCGGCGACGTCGGCATCGCGTGTCGAGCTGCGATTCACTCCGTGAGACAATGCGTTTCGTCGTCGGGAGAAATTCGGCGGGGATTACGACGTCGTCGAGAAGTTCCCCTCACCCCAGAGAGTCCTTTCTCTTCAAGACGATTCACTCACGGCCGGGTGCGAAGGACGCGTCTATAAGCTAATTTCCCGATGAATAAAAACGCGTAATACCCCTGAAAAGAAAATCCATTTAACGTCGCTCTCCCGGTCTCTCTCAAGATAAATTGCTTTTCGGGGGCTTTCTAAAGCGACATTGAGGGAAGTTCGGGCGGGGTGACAGTTCCTTTGCGATCCGGGTCCTCCCCTGAGAATCTCTGTTTTGGCTTCGTTGGCCGTCGCGACTGTCAACCGTGACCCAACAATGGGCGCGGGATACGCTGCCGAAAATCCACAAGGGGCGGCGAATACCTCAATGTAGACTTCAATATGCTACAGAGTCGTTTCCATCGCCCTCACGTNGGCGGTATTGGGTGCCCCCCCCCCCCCTCGGAAACTTCGTCTTCGCCAAACCTTACATAGAAACAAAAATGTCTCTATCTTTTCTAGGAGAGATTCGCCGGACTTTATGAAACGCCACCGTTCTCGGTCGAGGCTGCTTCTAAAATAAGGAATATCGATTTTCCCAATACTATAAAAAATAGATTGCAGAGCGCGCCACTCGAGAAGGTACGGCGTTTTGCGCCGCCTCGTTGTTATCCGATGCAATGAAACATGCGCGCGAAAATAATAACACGTTACCGAAGATAATGACAATCATTAGGAGTGAAACACGCGGACAGCAGAGAGCAGGCGAAACGTGGTGATTACGGAAATAATAAATTGAAAGGCAAATGGAGTCGCGCAAGTTTTAACGGCCGGACTACGACGGCCGCTTATCGCTCCTGAAAGAAATTCCCTCTACAGCTTGTAAATCATTCTTGTAAATAGCGTATTCTGATAAACCGCATTAGCCAAGCAATCTATTATTCGCTCGACCACGGCGATTCTCGTATCGCGATCGTCGACCTCGAGCGACTCGACGCGCTCGCGCGCGTTTAACCTCACACGCGTTGGATTACCATCGGTGTCCACCAGGGTTGAAATAATAAAACCGTCGCGTCCGATGCAGTTTATTGCGTCTTGCGGGACGCGCTGTCATGTACGCGGCGCGGCGGCTAGCTGCGAAATTGGATCTAAGCTGGCACACCGGCCGCAAACTCGCGAAAAGGAATTCGCGCTGCCTCGTCGCATCGTTCGTGTTATGACCTTTAAACTCTCCTCCCGAGCCTCCCACTCTCGATCCGATTACCAGTCGAGAGATTGCAACGGACCACCTGGCTCGTACGGGGAATTACATTCGGTCCCGAGTAGCGTCTAGTCTCTAGAAAGCCCCGTCGAAGCCTCGCGAAACGATAATCGGAACCGATCCTAGACCGATCGTAGTCGTTCCTTTGCGAAGACATCTCGAGGTGGACGCCAAAGGCAGAGGCTGCGAAGAGAGGCGACCCCCGAGGGGTCGCTCCTCTCTTTCCTCGACATTGGGGAAAAGCGTATGCCCGAGGGTCGCGCAGAACCCGGGGCAAGAGCGATATCGGACACTGCGGAGATATTACCTTCGCTCAGAGGGAAGCCGAGAACGTATGCACTCGCGGGGAACATATCCATGGTGACGTCTATGTGCGCGCAATAAAGAAAGGTATCCTGGCGAACTGGCATCGGATCGCGATATGACGCGGAATTCGTTTGACGGGGAGAGAGAGAGAGAGAGAGAAAGGGAACTATATTAACGTACGCATGCGGGCGCGTGTCGCCGCGCATCAATCTGTCGGATTCGAACGGTTCTTCGACGAGAGTTCGCAGTGGACATTAATTCACGGGAAATTTCACGCTTGTCCAAGTTTTTCTGTCTTCAACGTGTGACCTTGTTGAGCTTCGAATACAAAAGAACAATACAAAGGACGCCACGTGGAGCGAGTCGACGTGCGAGATTTTGTCTTCCCTCCGTTCACGGACGGTCGATTTCTCCCCGTTGACCCACGATGTCAGGCGTAAAAAAAAGGAATATGGAAAAAAAGCAATCTTGGATGCCACAAAATTTGAAGCTGCAAAGATCCTGCCAACGTGTATACAATGTAGCAATATTCGCGGCCGTATAGCGCGGGCGAGTTTACGGCCGCAATAAATATGTCAGTCTCCGGCTTTTTTTCCAAACGCGTAAACGACACCTCTCGACGCGACTAATTTTTCGCACGAGCGCCTGCCGTGGCTACATTGTGACGCCCGCGAAAGCGCATAAAATTCGGTGGCGGACAGTTACGCGGTGCTCTCTTCTCGCAACGAGACCGGACGGCTCCATTTTACATCGCCGTCACTCTCCCGGCGCGATAACGAACGGATGGAGCGGAAAGCACGAAGGACGATGGTATTTTTAGCCGGGATGCTGCGACAGAGATTCCCGCCGCTTCGTTTAACCGGCTTCGCGCCTTTACAGGTGTTCCGGATAACGACAACAACGACGACGACGACAAGACGTTATTACATATATCAATCCGCCCATCTTCCGAGCTGAGAGAGTGAGAGCATTTTAATTATGCCCGGCGGAACGACTATTTTTGCAGACGGTTTTATCGGCGGAAACGACTACCGGCGACGACGGATCAGTCGTCAACGAGAACAGGAGACGCGCGAACCGTTTACCAGCAGCGACGCGCGAATTGGAAAGTTTATCGCGTCGACCCGCGCGCGCCAGCCCGGGATCGTCGAACTCGCCCGCCTCGTGTCCTCGAGCCCGCTCGCGGTGCCTCGATCTCGATACGAGGAGGTAGGTCTCGAGGAAGAACCGGTCGTGCCGTACCTACGCGAGACGTCGTTAATGCCGCGAGAGAGCGAATCCACCTACGAGTCAAGGGGGTGACCGCGCGGGACGTCCCTCTCTCTTTCTCTCGTCGCTCGTAACCAGCTCGAAAAGAAAGCAATAAGTCGCTTCGACGGGAGAAGGCGAGCTCGAGGACGAGGGGAAGAGGAAGAAAGCCGCGGACCGATAATAAGTGGTCGTGAATCCCGAAGAGCGAGCCCGAGAAGAAAGAGAGAGAGGGGGTGGGAGGGAGGGAGGAGATCCTGCCGACCGTCTCTCGTTATCCACGCCACACGGCGCCCGGGCGTGACGTCATCGCGCGTGTGGTCGCTACAGGGGGATGTACTCGCGTGTGCACGAACACGCTCGTGTACACAGGTGTGCACGAACACGAGGAGAGACGCGACGCACGTCCTCGTGATTGCTCGTGTACGAGTGCGTGGACGCGCGCGCGAACACATAGTTGTGTGTGAGAGAGGGGAGGGAGGAGACGGCGTGCATAGGCCGGAGTCACGGCTCTCCTCACGAGGAGGTCGCTGGCAGCTCCGAGAGATGCGCCACGCTGCACGGCTCGTTCGCGTATAACAGGGCGCCCGCCGGCCGATGGAAGGGGGAGCCGGGGGGACGGTAGCGTGGCGGCCGAGTCCCGGCGAAAACGCACGAGCGCTCCAGTCGGCGACCCTCTCCCCGCTGCGCGATATCTCCGTGGTGCAGCGATCGGCTCGACTTCGTCGTCGACTCCGGCGCTCTCGTGTCTCCCCGGTCGGCTTCGCGTCACTTCGGAGTCAGTGCGTTCGCATCCGTCTCCGGGGTAGGGCTGCGGCTCGTTCTCTCCGGCTGCACGTGCTGTGTTACCGCTCAAGAGAGAGAGAGAGAGAGAAAGACACACCGTGTGGAGCGGCGGCGGCGGCGGCGTCGTCGTTCCGAGTAAAATATTTGGAGGAACTAACCGTTGTGTGTGTGCTAGTGGCCGGTACGCGCGAGACGCACACGTGTGCACACACTCGGTGCATGTGCGAGAGGCTGCTGGCGACGTAACGCGTGTTTACGGATCTGATTTAGTGTTCCCGATCGCGCTCTGTCTCTCCGGCGTATACGCTCTCGCCTGCAGCAGCGGCCAACCGCCGTGTACAGCGGCAGGAAAACGACGACCACTATCGCGCTACTACTACCACGGGCGAGCTCCACACTCGCCGGAGCTACGCGCTCCGTTTTTATCGGGACGCGAGGGATAATGGATTAATTTTCGCCGGGGTGAGCTGCCCGACGCGGCGGCGGTTGCGACTACTACTCTCAGCACGGTACCAGGCGATCGAGCGAAGCAGCGGGAGTCCGCGATAAATCAAGGTGAGAATCCGGCTTTGTTTTCGAGAAGGGTTGCGCGATAGCCCCGGACCTTCCATTGACCAGCCTGCTCACCGCCGGCCGAACCATTTCGCGTCCTCTCCTCTGTGCGTCTCTCTCTTCTGTCGGCCGTCCCTTTCCCTCCCACTGTCTCGTTTCGACATGCTTTCTCTTTCCCGTTGCTCTCCGCTCTGCTACGAATGCTGCAAACGAGCATCCACGAGCCGCGCAGCGTATATTCCGCAGCCTCCTCCATCTCCTCGGTCTTTCTCATTCTCCATGTCGTCCCTTCTCGTGCAAGGGCGGAGAGAGATGGTGGAGAAAGAGAGAGAATGGGAGAGGAAGGCAGAACGAAATAGAGAGACAACGCGCTGTTTCTCCGGATTCGGCTCGGACGACGGATCTTGATTGCAATTCTGCTCTCTACTACCGACGAAGCCGCATCTCCCTATGCAAATCCACGCCGGCGAAAAGTCGTGTCACAGTTGAAAGCCGCGCGCCGAGGATCTATGTTCCATTAAATCCTTTCTTCCCGCAGAATAGCAAGACCGAGTTCGACAACCTCTCTGAAGTCCCTAACGAGTATGAAAAATTGACGATCGCAGTCGCTACTCCGAGAGACGCGAGAGATTGACGATCGGGCACGTTCGGGATAACGGCGGTTTAGCAATCATAGACTAACGGCGAAACCAGAGAAACTTGCATCCCACAGTGGCCGCAGGGGTTTCGTCGTTAGCGTTTATCCGTTTTAAGAAAGCTGGACGAAATTGACTATAAACGTTCCATAAAAGTGCGAAAACCACGGCGAAATCTTTTTTTCATAAAGCGCGAATTAATTCGACGAATAGATTTGTATGCGATGAATACATTTCAAGCTGGAACATTGGAAAAATCATCCTGTCGTGCAATGTGTTAAAGGTTAGAGTTTACGCTTGACTCTTGCGAATGTTTAAGTTTGGAGAATAAATTTCACCGAGCGCAAACAGGATGCGCGACGATCCGCGAATAGACGCGTTATACTTTATCGGATATGTACACACGGGAGTGCTTAATACAGTGCAATCATTGTTATCCCGCGAGAATGGCGGATGCTTATTTGCTTAATATCCCTGTTGACCATACAACTCTGTTTGTGCTTTCTACGTTTCGTAGCCGACATTGAATCTCGTGTCAGCGAAACACATTGTACATTACGTTTATATTCATTACAAGCAATTATATCGCGCGTTATGGGCGGGGGAATTAACGCACGTACTATTGCATATATAAACGCATTTCACAATCGCTGCGACACACAAATTATATCGGCATACGAATACGCTGACTTGTTGCAATTTACAATCTCATCCACCCGCCGTCGCATACACAATTCGCTTAATAATCGCCGAAAACTCCGATAAACTGAAATTACAAAAGTTGTCCTGCTCATCAATTTTCTCTTCAGGATATCATTACTTCCGAAAGCCAAAAGCTTTATTTTTAAGTAAATATTTTGCAATATTAGAGATATACGGAAAGTTTCTGAAAGAGAAACATAACCGCATCAAGATTATTACATGTGGATGCAGGCATGGAAGTAACTCACTTTTCTTATTTTTCCTCATTTTTTTTCACTCAGCTTGAGTCTTTAAAAAAACAACTTAATCCTAAAAAATCATGTTATAGCTTCTTTAAAGAGATTGGCTTTTTTAAAGATAAAACAAAAGATTCAATGAAAATAGAAAGTAACAGTGATTTCGACGACACAACGTTCATCGAGTGAAGGACTGTGATTTTAATGTTAAATTGTTTTTATTGGATTCATCAGAAAAAACAGACAAAAACCATCGTGAGCGCACTTGACTGTGTTTTCTTTAAATTACGTAGTGAAATCGATTGTCCATGACTTGTCCATCTATAAATCTTGTTCGTCTACCGACCTAAGACAAGTTCTTTACAATCAAGTCCCAAAAAACAGACAATAACCATCAAGAGCATATCTTTTCTTTATTATTATTATCGAATATTATCTTTTCTATCTATTCTTTTTCTATCTATTATCTTTCGAATATTATTCTTAAAAAGTTGACTAACTAGTCTGCTTTCGATGGAAAATAACCTGTAATTTAAATCTTATTTTATTTCTCAAATTTGTTTTTGTTTGATAGAAAGATTCAGGATATTCCAACATCTTGGAAATGTATTAAATATAGCTTAACTAAACTCAAATATTATTTGTATTTTATCTTATTAAATATGTTCGAAAAAATAAAGAATCTAATTCTGTATGAAGAATTTTATTACATCTATGTGTGTATGTGTATGAATATATGCCTAAAACTCGAATTTAAAGTAAATTTTAGATTCTATGTATCATGTACCTTTTGCTTCTCAAAATGTAAATTTTGTCTTTCACTGACCTTTTTACTGTAAGGATAAGATTTTTAATTTCATGAAGGAATGGTATAACAGATAAACAATTTAATTTTTAACGTACGATACATATTTGAGAAAGACCCTCTTTTTACTCATTTCTTCTAAAATTGACGCATTATTTTCTTTTTTCAGAATGAAGCTCACTTTTCTCTATTCTTCTATTTTTCATAATTGAACCGACAGTTGAACTCCCATGTCTGGAAATGTCATTTCTCTTTACCCTGCTGCTAACTCAGTGTGTTGTATAAGACATTACCATAAACGCGTGGAACAATGCAGAGTCGCGGTACGACCTTGACTAGAGTTCAACGTCGAGAGAGAGAGAGAGAGAGAGAGAGAGAGAAAGACGGGGGGAAGGGGAGAGAAAATAGCGAGACAACGATCGCGTTTGTCGAAGCGAGCTCGCGTAATCGAATCCACGGAGAGCGCACATATCGAGGGCTACGCCCGATGCTACGCCCGACGCTACGCGGACGTAAATCACGGGGAAAAGCCCGCTCGTGACAGAATGTTAGCGCATGTTGGGCCGCTCGCACGCCCACGCTGGGATGCGATCTGTCGCGACGAGAAAGAAGCGCTGCGAAACCGCAGCCGACGTTTATCTGTCAGCCTTTTTACGACTATCGCGCGCAGCTTCCGGCGTGTACCGGCGTTCTCGTTAAATTCGCGCCGTGTACACACGCACACACACGCACGCGTGGGCTCGCTCGCGCGTCTGTGTACGCAGGACGCGCCATTACAAGCGCGCGACTAGTGTATTTTTCGCGCTCGCGATTATATGCATCCGCATTCTCTATCACTTAGATTCGGCGAGCGGAGCGAGTGCGTCTCTGAGCCGCCGCTTTATCGCGCTTGAATTTTCCCGACGGACGAATCGGATATTTATGATCGCCGGCGATAAGGAGGAGGCCGCTGCTTTGTAGTCGGGAAGTTCGTAGCGGAGGGTCGCAAAGGAGCCGCTCCCGCGACACCGCCGGCGCAACAGCGTCGTAACGCCTAATTACGTTCGCCGCGGACACACTGTACATATTTGCATCGCAAATCCCCCGACGCATAGCCGTCGTCGACGTTGTTAATTTTGTTACCGCGGCTTCTATAAGAACACATATCGGAGCGGCGCGCACCGACGCGAATATCAAAAGGAAGTGTCATCGGTGTGCAGGGGAGGCGAGAACGTAAAATAGTATTTTCCAACGACGACGCGTTCGTCGAATCTAAATTAATATCCTTCGCTTACGCGTGTTTGAGAAAAAATCCAATCGAAATATCGCGACGAGAAAAGGCGGTTCCGCCGGGATTATTATTCTCGACTCGCGCTATTAATAATTTATAGCTCGAAGGAGAGATGGACCGTCAGACTGCCGTATAAACTTGCGTAATGTATATTCGATACGATTCCGAAGTTGCGCGATATTGCTCGATTATACTTCCAGAGTGCGAAAGCAGTGCAAGAGAAATTGGAATATTTTGAGAGCGGGGAGAATTGATATCTCGATCGTATCGCGGTACCGTTCAATATCACTTATATGTCCCGCAATCCCGGAGTTCTTGACTCTGCACCGTCCGGAGAATCCTCGAATATCCTTGCTTGCGTTCAGGGCAATCGTGCTGATCGTCGGGACAATGTTATCTTATCGTCTCGGGAGAGTTCGCGTGACTCCAAACTGTTTCGTTACGCGAAGTCGCAAGTTTAACCCTCGACCGGGGCCGGTGTGCACTTTCGAAGTGCATTCAGAGCCGCGTACCTTGTCGAGTTCCTCGTAACACTATCCTACGCGCGCGTGCAGAAAAGCCTTAAACAATGCAGCAACAGTGAAACAATACTTCGGAATTCACTTCGTAGAATAAGGGAAGCGTGGAGTCTCGCTAGCTCGAAATTATCGCTAACTCCTGTGTGTTCTCTATGAGAAATATGAGAGCCATTCGGAGGAGCGTCTCGAGAATTATCCGAAATGAAATCAAGTTAAATCAAACACTATTTAAGACACGCGACGAAATGGAAATATTTACGGTGTCCCCTTATATGATACAATATATATCTTTCTGTATTTATCCCCTTCCGAAAATGGTACTTTATTAAATATCTCGATTATATCGAAACGTTGAAATCTCTTTTCCGCGATGCTGGTTGTCGCAGCCTGTTTACACGTGTCGTTTATGGCTGTCTAATTATTACGTGAATTCCCAGCAAACATTAACAGTACATACAACTAACAGTAACATAACATCAATGTTATAATTTCCCACTCGACAATGTAAATGCACAATGCTTGTGTTATATAACGTTTATATTGTCGGGAAATTATAATATTCATGTTATATTACTATTAGTTGGTGTTTTGCTGGGTTCTAACGATTCATCGCGCCGTTTGCGCATTAAAAAAAACGAAACATGAATATATATCAACGAAGACGACGAAGAGAGAAATGGATTTTTAGTCTGACATGTCTATTTAATTTAATGAACTGAAAGATTTCCTTTCCGTGTAATAATAATCAGCTAAATAGCGCGCGTCTGTGTTGTTCCAGACTGTACTAAAAATGGAAACGCACCAAAGATGAAAACTGGCTTCCGTCGAAGGCAAACC